AAAATATTATATTAAATTTTATATTGAAATTATACAATATATATTGAAATAATATTAAAATTATATTTACAAACAAAAAATTAATTAATATATTTTTTTAATAAAATATAATTTTTTATAAGAATATTTTTTATATTATTTTTTATAATATAAATTTTTTCACGGATATACAACTTATAAAATTTATTAGTATTAGATAAAGCAAAAATTTAATATTTTCTAATTACACTTACGATTCGAGTTTTCCTATTGATACTTTTTACCCTCTTGACAAAAATTCTATATCTAGCCACGCGTATGCTGCATTTTAGCCACCAACCCTCTTCTTTTCGTTTTTTTCCTTTAGAATATTTAGTATCTGCTGTCCGATAGGTACAAAATGTATCAATATAATTTGTTTAATACGTATTGGAAGCTTTCTGAGGCTTCTCTTTGATCTGTAAATTATTGAATGCTGCACACCTGTGAGAAATTACGTAGTCAATCTATCTTTATGTAGGTTAGGATGTTTGTTAATCTATTGCTACGATTAATAGTCGATTATCATTCAATCATATTCGACTTCTTTATTTATTAAATTTTTAATACACAATATGTATTTTTAAATTTATCGTAATAAAAATGATTAACTCCATTGTAGTATTATTTTCTCAATATTTAAGTGATTGTTATATTTGTTACAATATAAAAAATAATATATCCTTGCACATTGTATCATATTATATTATATATTTATATAAAAAATATACATAAAATTTGTTTTCAATTATAAATATTTATTTTTATTGAAAACTTAAAAAAACTTATTAGAAAATAGTCTTGGAGACCACTTGAAATCTATGGATTTAATAAAAATATTGTTTAATTTTAATTAAATTTTAATTAAATTTTATTAATTTATCAATTAATTATATTTTTTAATAATTATATTTTATAAATAGAATATAGCAATTTTTCTTATGTTGAATTTGTTAGAATACATTATTAGTATCTATATATATATTTGGTTATAGATACTTCCTTTCACAAACGGGGAGCTAATAGTGGTAGTGATACAGTGGGAGTAGAAAGAGGTGAAGGAGTGATTGCCATGACTACGACAGGAGCTCAGTATGCCCTTGCAGCATCCACCAGAGCTAATAACAGTGGGGGTAACTCTACAACAGTGGGGGTAGAACCTAAGCCAAGCGTTGTTGTCGTGACTACTTCTAGCTCCAGTGGCAGTGGTAATGCAGCACAAAGTCAATCTACGAGAGGACAGCAACTTATCACTGTTGTTACTAGTTCTGATCCTTCTAGCCCAAATAATTTGCAACCTATACAGGTTTGTTAAATTACATAGTATTCATAAATTTTTTTTTATAATAAGATTTCTTTTTAAAATATTTAATAATTATTTTACATAAATAATTTTTATTAAAATATATTAAACATTATAAATAATTTGAGATTGATATAAGCAAAAAATGATATAAGCAAATTGAAATGAGAAAATGATTTCTAAATATTTTTGCTATATACAGAAATTTATTGTTGATCATGAGAACATGCATACTATAAATAATAATTTAGTTATTGGTTCAGGATCCACTTGAAGCAGCTGCAGATTCTTCCAATGGTTCAACAGGTACTCCAGCACATGTTACAGCACAAGTAGTAGTGAATACTACCCATTCTGGTCAGCATACCCTTGTTGATTCTGATGCTGCATCTACGTCTGCTGGTACCATTGTCAGTGGATCTCCACATTTTATTACAGTAACAGGTACGTTTTAAGTAAAAAATAATTTCAATATATTTTTATTTTATTCAGCTGTTAGTTTTGAAGTGCCAATTATACTTTTACAAAATATTCAAATCTGAAAGATTGGTCTTAAAAATTAGTATTGATATGTGAAAATTAAAATAAATTGGGACACTCCTTATAAGTTGAGTATGTTAGGGGTGAGTATCAGGATCAGTTTGAAAAAAAATTATAGTGTTTGAGTAGAGATTTGGCCCTTTCCATGCTGCTGAAAAACATGCACCTCTGTTCTTCTACTCTGACTACACTAGGCACCAGTGACTCACCATCCTACGCATCCCTCACAACGGCAGTAGGTGAGGGCAGAATATAATCAGCATGCATTATTTTTAGTTATTAATATACTATTTATTTGTAAAATAGCTACATATTATTTATTATGTGCTTATTAATCTTGCATGTTTTAATATTTTTTTATTTGTATAAATATAATAAAAAACAAATATTAAATTTGGATATCAAATTTTATTTTAAGAATGCAAGTATATGTTTAGATACATTTTATATTTTTTAGCAATTGGAAAGGTATAATTCTATAACTTTTAAGTATTGTGTATTTTGAAAAATTTAATTTATGTGTTAAAAACATGTTAATTATATAAACAAATTTAAATACATTGTATTTGTTTCAGTGTCTGGTGAACCAGAAGCTGTGGGGTCTGAGTCAGTTTCTCATCCTACTTATGTTCAATATGTTGAGGGGGATGGTTCTACATATATACCAACAAATGGCCAAATGTAAATACTATTTATTTGTAATTTTTCACAAGAAGATGAAAGTTTATATTCTCATTTTTATTTTCAATTTATTGTTTATATGAGAGAATATAAACATTGTTTCATCTTTTTTGGCAAATACATATCAATGTACATATTAACATATCAATATATCAATGTTACATTTCAGTTGTTCCATTAAATTTTATATAATTTATGATTTATAGGACATATCCTGTATATGCAGTTGGAGAAGCAGGAGCAATGTACACTCCTGCTTCCAGTCAATATTATACACCAGCAACTACTCCAGTAACATATGCTCAGGTAATTTATAAAAAATCTTATATTCAATTAATAAGTAAAACAATAAAATGAAACTTATTATATATTTTGTAATATTATTATAAATTGTAATCATAATGAAAATAATATTTTATTGTATTTAGGTTACTGGTCAAGGTTCAAATTCTACAACTGGTCAATTGTTATCTCAAGGTAATGGGACATATCTCATTCAACAGAGTGTCGTAGACGGAGATCCAACAACACACGCGTTAATATCTGCAGCTACTGCACGTGCTAGTCCACAAACGGAAAATACGGTAAAATAACAATGCATGTTTATAATTTTTGTTGCTCTTAATTTTTTTTATTATATTTGTGCAAATACTTAGAAATAATACAGATTCTGTAGATATTTTTTATATCTGTAATATAAGATATGGATTATTTTAGAAAATTATATAAAATAAAAATTTATAATAAAATTATTTTTTGAAACTGGATTTAATAAGTATTGGTATATTGGGTTATTTGATAGGAAACTGTGGTTAGCGGAGGTGGAGGGGCATATTTGATCAGTGGTAATTCAGGAAATGCTGCTGTCACCGTGGAAGATGCTGCAACAGCAGCTGCAAATATGACGCATGCCACTAGAGTTTCTCAAGCAACAGTAAGTTGATAAATACTATTTGCAAACTAAACACTAATTTATATAATAAAATCAAGACTGCTTTTTTTAAAAGTGCTTTTTTATACGAGCTTTATTATAGTTCAAAATTGATTTTGCAATAAAGCAAAAAAAATATTTTTTAATATAAATGTAATATAAATATACTATATGTAAATATATTTATATGCATACTATTCATTGTTAAGAAATTTTTCAAAATAATATTGAAATTCTATTCTTTTATTTATCGATATGAAATGCTGTTATAATCCTATTTATTAACATTTTTTTTTCAAATTTTATTTAAGATTTTTATCTATGTTTATTTTTATGATTTTCTATCATATTTTTTATGATTTATCAAAACTAATCAAACTTCATTCCTTTTCGAAGACTTTTTCTAAATGAAACAAGTTTATATGTAATTTTATGTAATTTTATTATATATAATTCTTTTAGTTTAAATCTAATATTATATCTAATATTTATAAATAATATAATTTTAAAGCTAATAATTTTTATAATAATTTTTATCCATTAGGTTCATTGGTTGCTTGAAAATTATGAAACAGCAGATGGTGTCTCTCTTCCAAGATCCACTCTTTATAATCATTATTTACGTCACTGTTCTGAAAATAAATTAGATCCAGTAAATGCTGCAAGTTTTGGAAAATTAATACGTTCTGTTTTTTTGGGCTTAAGAACCAGACGATTAGGCACGAGGTAAGGAATTTTATTATTTATTATTTTATATTTTTAATTATCATTTAATTATCTTTTATAGAGGAAATTCAAAATATCATTATTATGGAATTCGCGTTAAACCCAGTTCTCCTTTGGTTATGCTAAATGAAGATGGAACACCTCGTCAACAACAAAATACAAATTCACAAACAAAACGATTTAAATTTGTAAATCAAAAACAAGATACCACATATGAAAATAATCCACATTCAAATACGAACATTTCTTCGAATAATTCACCGCCACAATATCATCAATATCTTGGTGAGGCAAGTGGTGCCATTCCAGAATTTCCAGAAATAATAGTTGGGCACAGTTCATCTCTTCCAGAAGATTGTACGTTAGAAGATATTGATACGTTCCGTAGCATATACAGAGAACATTGCGAAGCTTTTTTAGATGCTGTTCTCAATTTTGAATTTGCTACTGTTGAAAGTCTTTGGAGAGAATTTTGGCGTAGTCAAGACAATAATAATGGTGATGAATGTGAGGAGGAAAAATATTTATCAAAGTAAGATTATTATTTTGATTTCATCAAAAATATAATTAAAAATAGTTTATGATTAAAAATTTATTAATATTTTGTGCTTTTTTAGGACTAAGCTATATCAGATGTGTAAATGTTCAGAAGTTCAAGATTTCATAAGGAAAGTTGATTATACGTTTTATCAAAATTTGGTAGAAGTATTAATGCCTAATGTATTGCGACCCATACCAAGTGAGTTGATCATCAATCATTCCATTGTCTATTAATCATGTCATTACAATATTAATTGTAATACAATCTTTAGGTTCATTAACACAATCTATTCGAAATTTTGCAAAAGGATTAGAATCATGGTTAACATCAGCAATGGCTGATTGTCCAGAAGAAATGACTCAAATAAAGGTATATATTTTATTTTTATTTATATTTATAAATTTATTTTAATAAATATTTTATTTTAGTTGACTGCTGTATCTGCGTTTGCTCAGACATTAAGGCGTTACACATCATTAAATCATCTTGCTCAAGCTGCACGTGCAGTGCTTCAGAATTCTAGTCAAATAAATCAAATGCTAGCTGATTTAAATCGTGTTGATTTTCATAATGTGCAAGAACAGGTATATATATTTATTAATTTAAAATAATGATTCTTTATGAAAAATTTATGTTTATTTGTAGGCTTCTTGGGTATGTCAATGCGATTATGCAATGGTACAACGTCTTGAAGCAGATTTTAAAGTAACGCTACAACAACAAAATTCATTAGAAGATTGGGCAATTTGGTTAAAAAGTGTTGTAACGAAAGTTCTTAAACCGTTTGAAGAAAAACCAACATTTGCAAAAGCTGCTCGACAATTTTTGCTCAAATGGTCCTTTTATAGGTAATTATTCCAAATATGAAAATTATGATTAATTGTTTATTATTTTGATCATCTTTTGATTTTTCATTTGATAGTTCCATGGTTATTCGTGATCTTACTTTAAGAAGTGCAGCTAGTTTTGGATCTTTTCATTTAATTCGATTATTATATGATGAGTATATGTTTTACTTGATTGAGCATCAAGTAGCAGTTGCCACAGGAACAACTCCAATTGCAGTAATGGGAGACGTGTGTATTTTTAACAAAAAAAAATAGATATAATATGTTTAATAATTATTAAATTAATAATTAATGTATTAATAATAATTTTTTTTTTAGAAAAGTCAAAATTGCTCTTTAATTAGCGCATTTGGTGCCACTTCTAATGGAGGTAAGTTATATTTATTTTATATTAATAAGATTTCTTGTATTTGTATAAAGTTTACAATTTTGAAATTTTCCCATTAGATACATCAAATGCGAATCAACCAAAACGTATGAAACTAAGCTAACTGCGTGCCTACGCCTTTTAGTTTTGAAAATAAGCCATTAGCACCTGAGAATGACATTAGCACAAGAGCATGCAGGCCTATTAATACACTAGTCCTATAAATTATAATTTTATATAAGATGAGATCTTATTGTATTATGACTTTGACAAAGAAGATTTTTGCATAACGAACGCCCAGGATGTATACAATCTAAGTAAGTTTGTGTGATATAACATGTAGAATATGTAATGCAATCATGAGTTGAAATCTACTTTAGGAGATTATTATTTTTTTATTCATTTTTGTATCTCTCGATTAGAATTATTTTTTTGATAAATAGAATCCAAAAATATTTTTAATTTTAAAATTATAGTTATACATATATAAATAAAATTTTAACTTTAAAGAAAATGAAAATTAACTGGAATAGTATCAAAAGTCATGTGTCTTCTAAAAAGTGCATGTTATTATCATATATCTAATAAGAATCATAAAATGATTATATAGATGAAATATATTGTTTGGTCTTTTTTACGTTGTTCGGTTTTTGCCATTCGATTTTCATTATTCAATTATATATGAATATTGGCCAATTATCAATTAATATAATACTCATTAATATAATACTTTATTATTCTATTTTTTTTAATTATATATCTATAGTATCACTCATTATGTACATAATAATATAAAAAACGAGCATTATACTGATTGATAATTTTCGGATAGTTTCATTTTCAATTGGATAATAAAAACTGAATAATGTAAAAATATTTTGAATAAATGACAAAAAATAAATTACTTATGTCAATTTAATGGAATAGATAATGTAATTTTTTAGCTTTTCGCACTTATCTCAAATGATATATTAATTGCTAATTAAATTTTTATTTTGGAATTAAGTTTTGTTTACATTGGATTTACAATTTCTATTGTAATTTTATTTTTTCATGTCTAAGGAATTTAAATCAAGATTATGTTTATATTATAAAATTATGTTTATTCATAATTTTTATCATGAATTTAAAATTGATTTTGGATTCTACTTATCAAAAACTAACGATAGATAAAAAAAAAAGAAAAAAATTAATGATTTCTTAAAATAAATTTCAACGCAATTATGCATATAATGCAACTGTAAGGTATCGCTGGCACGATGTTAGTACATTAATGTATTATCTAGTCGAAACATCTTTGAAATATATATGGGACCATGAATTTATCATGTCCTTATAATATTCAATATTAAAAGCTTACTCGACTATTTTCTTCGATTATTTCAAATTTCTTTTCTTTCCAAATCTTCATGAATTTAAAAAATTCAAATATAATAAAATTATTATTATTTAAAAATTTATCAATTGTTTATGATTTGAATATCGTATCATTTAAAATATCTTTTAGCATATTACACAAAAATCAAGTCGAGTAAGCTTAAATAACAAACATTAGTTTGTGCAAAAGAAAAGTCGCAAAGACAGCATTTTTATGGGGAAAAAATTATTTTCCTGTAATTCATATCGACGAATTCCATTTTGCACAAATAATTGAGTAA